AGGAACCTCAATTGTTGGCATTGCCATTACCTTTGGTTTTAGATTGGGAGGTCCTAGGGCAAGAGAGTGAGGCAAATGAGAAATTAGGCAAGATTCGGTCGGCTTATTGAATGGCAAGAACAAAAATCTAGGATATTCATTGAATGACCAACATTTACTTTACCAGGGAAGCTATAATTACCCTGAAATTCAAGATGCATACCAAAATTAATAAAGAAGTTTCACGGCGGGGCTATCGAAAGACATTCAATTGTGCTCAAAATATACTGGAGGATAAAAGCAAAATTATCTAGATTAGGAAAGAGAAAAGATGTAGAGGGCATGATCTCAAGGCGTTATGTGCACCAACAACACATGGCATTAGTACCATAGAGTTGATAAAACCTCTGACATTACCGGAGAAGGAATGGGATGATGTGACGATGGATTTCATTTAAGACTTACGTCGATCAAAAGGATTTGCGATCTTCTTGGTGGTGGTGGAAAGTTGAGTGAGTACGCACACTCTGTCTCTCTACATCATCCCTGCACTATTATTTTGGTTGTCGTTATTTCTATATGAAAGGTCGTCGTTATTTCTATACGAAAGCTTTTTCGTTGCATGGGATTCCATAATTGATAATGTTGGATTGAGACAAGATTTTCTTGAGTCACTAATATAGAAACTTGTTTAGAATGCAAGGGATTGTATTAAAGAGAAGTATAGTGTAACACAAAAAGATTGATGGACAATCAAAAGTTGTTACTCAATGTGTGGAGACTTATTTTCGTTGCTTTGTATCGGACGCACCCGAGCTACGAGCTAAATGGCTACCTAAGAAGAGGATTACTACAACACTTCATATCATATAGTTTCTCACTGCACTCCTTTTAAAATCGAGTATGGTCCCAATCCACCCTATTTGATGCATTATGGACCTAACACCATGCTAATATCCCTGGTGGATCAGAACTTAAAAGAAAGGGATAAGGTGTTGGTAGAATTAATAGGAAATTTATTAAGAGCTTGAACATTTATAAAGAAATAAACTGAAAGATATCAAAGGGATGTGCAGTTTGCAGTAGGAGATAGAGTGTAATCACAAAAATCCCCATCCCATTGAGAAGTGTTATGGGGATCACTCAACTCAGTATGACGCGAGGTTGAAGGTGTCGTAGTCATAATAAACCTCATCGAGTCTGCCAAATATTTTGAAAACTTATTTTAGGCGCAAGACTAAAAAGGCTATATGGTCATTTGTTAATATTAATATTTGATATTCGTGGGTCATAATATGATAAGGGTTAGGGTATGTAATTATTGTTTTCAATCTTAGGAGTTAAGGTTTGGGAGAGAATCGCCAACACCTCGAATTGTATGTCTCTTTTATATATTTAGGATTGTGTTAGTTTATATCAATGGAGTAAAATATTTTATTTTGCTCTAATCTCTGTGAAAATTAGTCTCATTCCTATCAATAACACCCCCTTTGGCGTCATATTTTTAAAGTGTAATAAAACATCATAAAAGATAAAAGATGTAGAGTGAAATTTTAAATTACTTGGCAAGGCTATTGACAAAAATGGAGAACATGTTGTCCAAGTTACAATGCAAGTGCATATAAGGTCTCTAGAATAAATTAATGGACCTATGCACTGCACATTGTATCGATTTAATAATTAAGAAACTTGGAGACTTGTCACAACATAAGTACGCTTTGAAAAAAAGGAAAAAGGATAAGCAAGTTTACTTAAAATTATAGTTAGGCTTTGGCCTTGATGATGTAATTCTCCATACAAGTATCCTAGAAGAAGGGAAATATTTAAAATTTACAAGTTCACTTCTACACAGTTGTTAAGTTGTGTATGAGCAAATAAATCTAAAGTTCACAACTACAAAGCTCTTTAGTTAACGTATTAAGAATGGTTGCTACAGTGAAAATGCTAAAATTGAGATTCATTTTAATGTTATGAATGAGATAAGGGAGTTTTGATGATAAGTAAAATCTTAATTTCTATATACGCTAGCTATTTATCTTTAATAGTGAAGATTTTTAAATTTGCATATTATGCTCATTGTATTTTTTACTAAATTAATTGAGTGGTGGATTCATTTGGAGATGATAGTCCCAAATTAGCAAAATTTAAAATCAAATTGTTGAGTCTCACATAATTTTCATCACAGTGTATCATTAAATAATGCATGCTTTGTGTAGAATAAAATGGAGGTTCACCATCATAATTATATGAGGAAGATCTAAATATTGATTTTTTTGATAAAGAAGGAACATAAATAGTAAAACTTGATGAGACAACAACAACAAGCCTTTAACCCACCAAGTGGGATTGGCTACATGAATTAATTTTCTCCATTGTGCCCTATTGAGTGTCATATTTCCATTGAATTCTTATAAATTAAGATCATTTTTTACACAAGCAAAAGTCAATGAGAAAATAGCAAAAAATATTAGTATAATATTTTATACATTATAAATTATAAAATGTCAGCATAATTATTATTGTAAAGAATAATGTAACTAAATTTCGTTCATTAGGTAAGAAAAAGATACTTAAGAATAAAAATAATAACTAAGATTAAAAGAATGTTGATAAAAGTAAAAAAAATATATGTTAAAAAGTAATCAATTCCAATGATGATCCTAAGGAAAACTCCTCTAAGTGATGATAGTATTAATGATTTCTAGTCCCGAGTCAAACTAAACATATGTTTAGTACATGTTTATTTTACAGTTCTTTATTTTTAATTGTTTATCTCAATACTAATTACTTAGTAGTGTGAGAGTTTGTATCACTTTTTAAGATGGTACATCATTATTTGATTTACTACTCTAAAATGTTTTATTTTTTTAATTATTTTTTAAATTATTTAATTTTTAATAGTTTAATTATTGAATTTTGAGGCTTATGCCACAAAAATATTTCAAGCTCATAACTCGACTTAAAAATAATAATAATATAATAAATCTTCAATGTTATAACACAATTTTGTACCTCAAATATAGCATTTACCCTAAGAAACATTGACCAAACAAAAGAAAGGGTAAAAAAGAGTAGACAAAGCAAGGTCTATGAATGGTAAAATAGATCCTAGATACACATTTCAATCATTTTAAGCTTTATAGTTTACATTACTTTGAGTTCATCAAAGTTAGTTGATACTCAAAGTGAGTAAAACCTCAAGATAATTCCTTCCAAACCCAATAATATCTTTTTATAGAGTCTAAGCCCTTATTTAAAAAGATCTTTAAGACATCCAACTCAAAGTGATCCTCTCCATCGAGCTCCCTGTAAACTCATTAAGGCTTATAAATTTATGATCTACGTGAATTAGAAATTGATTTGATTCAAGACATGTCTATAGGCAATATGCCTCAATGTGCATAAAGTGATCACTTAAAATTAACATTTAATTGGAAAACAAAATACACAGAGGTTAGATTCATATGGACATGAACTTAAATTTTTAGGTTTTCTTTATACTTTTTTTTAATTAAAATTTGTTAGTTTTTTACATTCTTTTAAGTTCATTTTAAATTTCATTTCGTTTGTTTGGTTTTCATTTTATTTCATTTGTAACTATGTTTTATTATCTTTTTAACTAAGTTTCTTTTCCTTTTCATTTCATTGGCTAGTTTTTATAATATTTATGGTTAATTTTTTTGAATCTTTAACTGCTTGTTGATTGTTTATGGCATGGTTATTAACTATGATGATACGAGTTTTTTTATAATTTTTAGTCAAAGACTTAAACCTCCATCTACTTTAAATTTTACACTTCCCTTAAGCAAAGCAAAATGTTTCAATTCTTGATTTTGGCTTTTTAAACTTTGGCCTAAGCTACAATTAAAGTAGTGACATCCTCAAGGAGACAAATGATGCAATGAAAGAAGAGCCAGCCCATTCTAAGTTAGTAAGAAAATTTTTCTTTCAACTCAAACAACTAAGCACTAGCTTCTCCTAAAATGAACAAATTTTGGGATAAGTTAACAACCCTTTTCAAATATTGTGTGTTTTAGTGTACCAAGCAGACGTCCATCAGCTCTAGACACATGATTGTGCATTTGGCCAACAAAAACACCGTGCCTTTCAAGGGAATTACCCCCACCATAATTTCTTCTTTTTTTTTCCGTAAATCCCAATAGCAAACAATGTACAATGGCTTCCTCCCTCACCACCCCTCCCACATCTCACAGTGAGATAAACACTCTCCACATGAAGCATAAGGAATTAAACCCCTCTTTCCTGCATTCTACAAGCATTCCCACAGTTTACCCTCCTATTTCTAGCATTCTCAGCATCTCCTAAGAGGAGATATCTACTCATGTCTCCATACCAAGAGGTGTATGCCATGTTTTTCTTCATCCTTCCCCAAGAAGTTGCCTATCCCCAATACATTCCTCCAATCGGCCTCCAATCGGAACCATCTGTCGCCGAGGGTCCATCTGCTAAGTAAGCGCAGCAAACGATCTTTCAGTGACGAGTTTCAAACTATTTCCACAAAAACCACAACTGATGGCAACTGGAGTACACTCTCACAATAAAAACCTTTAGAAAAGGTCCCGAAATCGGATAAAAGCTTCTGACCGTGTCCTCAAAGGACGGGTGTCACCCATAGAGCAGCACCAAAAAGGCGCCAAAAGAAAAGCATGCAATACGATCATGAACGGATACATCAGACCACATCCTTCCACCTTTCCCGTACAAATTCAGGAGCCAACACTATTCAATATCATCTCCACGATCGAAAAATTGTCCTATTTTTTGTACGCAAAAACACTTGTAAAACAAAAAAACAAATTTGAAGTGCAGGTACCGTTCAGTTGGTCTGTAGAACCCAATTCTGCTGGAAAAATAACCATCACATCAACACACATGAACAGAAAAATAAAACATAAACTACATCCAAACCGTTCCGAAATAGCGTCGATTCGCAAAAAAGAGAACAAAACAATCAAGTAAGAAAGAAATGCAATGAAAATTCACGGGCCAACGGCACTCACGCGAGTCGAAGCATGATAGGAGCGCAGTTCTTGCTAGAGATAAGCGCCCTCAAATCCCTCCGGGCCCTTTCAATCTCCTTCAAGTACTCCCCGTCGATCACCGGCGGTGCCATTTCCTACCCTCGAGCACCTCACTCGGTCCAACACTAACAAGAAAGTGTGCAAAGTGAAAAATACAAAGCAATAGAAGAAGAGGAAGAAGAGAGCAAGGAATGGGATTTGTCCAGCAGCCAAGAAAAGGATTAATCGCGAAGGGATGGGAAAGTTTCCATTGATGGCTCATCGATAACCAGTCAAGGATATGAAGAGTCGGGTCGATCAGAATTTCGGACACGTGGCATAATTTTTGCAGTGGTACCTGGGAAAACTTGATGGACGGCTGAGATTGATGAAGTTGCATATTCTATTGCAGTGGGCCTTTGTCTGGATCCATGGCGCATGGAGGCCACGGTCGCTCATCATGATCTTAAAATTATTATAATTTTGATTGGTTCTTTTTTAATGCTTAAGATATAAATTATTATAATTTTAATTGGTCATATTTTTTTATTTTCATAATGTTTAATATTTAGAGGTAATTTTAATAATTAAAAATGTTAAAATATAGTCAGCATGAGAATGTTGATATTTGAGTTCTTCAAAAAAAAAGAAAATTTCTAAAGTATACATAATATTTATAAAAATCTTATTTTTCTGATAATAATTTATGAATATTTTTACAAGCCGACACAAATATTGAGTGATCATTTTGGGCTATGTTTTTACATCTGTATTTTTTTAAGTAGTGTCATATTTATGATTAGCAATATTGTTATAATTTTTTATTAGTGCTTAAATTTTGAAGGCAATTTTGAAAGACAAAATTGAACCCCACATTAGAGTACTTGGTAGTTATGTGGTGGGTAATCTAGATATGGTGCCTACTTTTATATAATTGCAATGATGAACCATGTGAGAAATTATTAAGTTTGATACAAATTTTCAAAATCTTTACAAATTAGTACAAATTTTCATTGATAACAGGGGAGATAGACAATACATATGTAGAACCTTATTTCATTGATGTAGATCGTGAGGGAACAAAGTATTAGTCATACAGGATAAGCAGAATGATGGGTTTGACACCGTTATCCGCAGACACAATACAAAGATAAACAAGAACATGAGGTACAAATGGTGCAAGAGTAGTGACAATAGTTGGTCTAGCTACCCTCCTAACATCGTGGGGAATTGTTGGTTGTTGAACTGTCTGCTTAATGGTAACAGAGCTCCCTCGGTCATTCTGAATAATAAGCCCTTAGCTGCCTTAGATGCTCACAAGAAGTAATGAACTTTAAAAAATATAATGAAACGAAATGTATGTATGGATCACCTAAAATGACATTCACAAAATCCTGGCATGGATCTATGAGATACTCTTTCAGGATCATTGTTGACCTCATTTTTATGAGGTCTTCCTTTTCCACTCTCTAAGACCTAGAATCTAGCCTTATGTTTTTTTTTTTACTTTCCTGGAGAATTTGTATTGGGGCTCACACTGCTTAGAAATTTGAACCCGTCTTGACTCCTTGTAATCTCATATGGGAGATTTTAAATCCTCAACATTTAGTTGAATCAATTAAAATTAACATATTAAAACTCAAGTTGAGTTCGTATAAAGACTAAAAAAACCCATAAGAAAACCCTTAGCATGTGAAAAGCGATTCCCCTCTGCGAACAGTCTGCTAGACTTTGGTTGTTGCTTAAGCAAGGACCTGTCAGCTATTTTGCTCCTTGAACAGCTCTGATCAAATTAAACGACTTCATTAGTCACGTAGTGTGTGAATCAGAGCTAAATTAGTTTGATTGATGGCAAGTTTGTCCAAAAGACCTCGGACGACAAAACAGACCGAACAAACACGTCCCGAGAGTTGATTATATCTAAGGAGGACATATACATTGATATAATTTCATATGCGGGGCAATAATACATAAATCAATTCTTTCAAAATAATAATAATAATAATAATAATAATAATAATAATAATAATAATAATAATAATAATAACATTTTAGAGAATAAATCCCTCGCACTTCTACCCTCGCCTCACTCGACGCCTTAGCCACCCTCCTTTTCGGTCCAAAACTCTTTGTGCCCTAACAGAACCGCGAGCTCTCCCTCTCATGTGGGAGGATCTCCTTGTCAGAGATTTACTCGCTCTCCACTCTCATAACCTAACCGTCACTTCCCTGGTCCCTATTGCCTTCTTTTCGTCGCCAGTAAGCTTTATGGTAGGTATTTTCTCTCTTTGGCTATAAAAAACCCTAATCGCCAGTTCCTTGATCAAATTAAGCTAACCTGGGTCAATCCTATTAAGCTCAGGTTAACTTAAACCAATTCAGAACTAACGTGAGGCAAAATCAACCCAACTTGGGCTAACTCATATCAGTCAGGAACTCAACCATTAATCTGATATGACTCGGGCTAATCCGAAACCAACTCAGTCTTAGATGAATAGAGCTTAAGGAGTGTATGACATCTCATTAGAGAACAAAAGCACACTTAACATCAATTAAGAACAACTTGGGCTAACATTCCAAACTAACATTAAAGACACAGAACATAATTCTGCCTAAACATCGCTAAAAACTTAAACTTTAACTATAAAATGCAACATGGTTCAAGAAGGAACTTTAGAGAAGGAAACCCATGACTGCTAACAAAGTACCATCCAGTTACTTATCACTAATCAAACTGCAAACCCCAATGACCCCGGGAGAATGGAATCATGGGATATTGTCCCAAACATTCAAATAAAATACAAAAAAAAAATTCACAAAATCTAATCGACTAAGAAGTCTTAAGCAACCTAAAATGTTCACCCCCTAAAATCCGAAAAAGACACTAAAACTTAAATAAAACACTAATAAACAAGATCACCGAATGTAAATTTAATCATGCTACTGATACACCAAAATAATATAATGTTTTAAGTACCTATTTTATGCTTATTTTTTAATGATATTGTACTTTAAAGAAGGGTATTTTTATGTTTTTTGTTGCAGGTATATCATTTTTAGGCATTTGGAGTAAAAATGACAAAGTTTTGGAGCAAAAAGAGCCAATTTTGGATTCTTGCGCATGATGCGTCAGAATGTGCCAGAATCCAGAGAGCTGGTGCATGATGTGCCAGAGATAACTTTTTCAAATTAAGGCACTTCGAGACAAATTTTGCGTGAATTTTCAAAGGGACACTTGTTCTACACACCTCTTGGAGTAATTCAATGCATCTAGACACTTTAAAAGGTTCTTTTATGAAGGGAAATGCATCTAGACACTTTAAAAGGTTCTTTTATGAAGGGATATGACTTATAAATCAAATGTCACATCTTTTGAATTCAAAAGAGGAGGAATTTTTTTAGGGAATTTTGAATTCTTTTCCAAATAAGACAGCCCAAAATAAAAGAAGAAGACTTGAAGAGGCAAAGAGGGGATGACAAGAAGAGGCTTTTGGGGTGTGGCGTGAGAGTTAGAGAGAGAGAGAGAGAAGAGGAGATTTTTTTCTAGGTTTGTGAGAGGAGAGAGAAGGTGAGAGGTTTCTTTTTCATTACATTTCTAAGAGAGAATTGAGAGTGATTGTAAAGAGAGAAAGACTTGGAAAGAACTGCAAGGGATTTGCTTAGGAAAGATTGTGAGATAAGTTGTATTTTTATTTCTTTTATTTTGTAAACTTGTTTTTATATGTGAAAATCGTGTTTATCGTATCTTTCTCATAAATTCTAAGTAGTCTTATTTATCATTCTCCCTATATGGTTTTGTGAAGAATAGTTTTTTTTTACGGTTTTAAATGATAATAATTTGTGATGATTTTAACGCCGATCTTCATTTACATTTTAATCTGACCAATTGAAATATTAAAACTTGTTATTAAAACTTGTTGAGAGAACTTGTTGAGAGACATATGTTCTTAAATGAGATATGATTTCTACAACATAGGGAGAATCACATTTGATGTCATGTGAGAGTATGTCATCCTTGGGATTGAGTGCAAATAAATAGGGAAATATACTTTTGTTGGATGCAGAATAGGAGATTTTAAAGTAACAGATTAAAACTCCCAATTTGATTCAGTAGATTGGAAACTAATGTAAGATTGTTAGCCCTCAGAGAAGAGAGTAGTGGGAGCTTTGTAGTGGCAGCCGGTATCCTCCCAGCCTAACCACAGAATCAGGGACCAAACTCTAGATTAGTCAATGTTTTTTATAGCACTTGGAAGAGGGTAAACAATAGGATTGCTCCTATTTGGCACAAAACAGTTTTTATGTATATTTTTAAATGTTTTTCAATTTTCTTACAAACCATATACTTATTGTAAATGTGAAGGATGCTTTCTCAAATTTGAACTTTCTGTCACAACAAAAACTTTGTTTATTTTTTGCAATTTTACTTTAAAAATTTTAGTATTTAGTTTAGTTTAATTTCTGTGATTTACATCTGTATTTTAATTAGCATTCATTTGAGTAGTCAATTTTCAAATTTCACACTTTACTTTTTTTTTTATTATTATTATAAAATAATTCCCAAAATTTACTTTAGGATTTTCCAACTTTACTGTGAGATCGATATCTACGTATACTTGTGTTGATATTTAAGAGAGATTTGACAGTTTAAAAGGAGTTTTAAAGGATAAATTACATTTATAAAAGGTGTGTTGTTAGGATTATATTACATATTTATTATAAATCTATCTGCATCGAGTTTTTTGCACCGTTAAGTGGTGTCAACTTCATAAATATTTGCATATACAAATCTCCGTGTCAGCTTCCCGGGTCTACGAAGGTCTCTTGGACGACAAAGCCCATGGTTGCTGACAGGAAAATTCTGGTCAAAGTAGGTTTGACAGCCTCTTCAAACTAAATAGATCACGGAACCTGACAAACCCGAGACGATGGAAAATCATGGGCATCTTTACCAGATCATCTTAAATAAACATAAAAAATAAATCAATCAAATTAAAAATATATTATGCTAAATTTATTTTACAGGACCGCTGAAGATAAATAGCGGATGTTAGATTTACTTTGCATTTTAATACAGTGTGTTAACTTTGATTTGCAGGGGCGATCATTCAAACTATGCATAACACGATGTGAAGGAATGAACCTCAACTAAATGATTGACAATAACATGAACAAATTGGGATTCATAACCTTACCTCTTTGTTGGGCTTCAAATCAAAGGTTGTTCGTCTAGTTACGATGTTAATCATCCATTTTAGGCATCTGCATGATCATATGACATGCAGCA